CCCCACTCCCACCCCCTGCCCCTTAGGCTGGCTCCACACTGTGAAGTTGCCTGGGCTCTCTGCTTGGCCTCAAGCCAGGGGTACAAAGGCCTCTACTCGCCACCCCCATGGCCTGTGGTTCTGACCCCACCGTTAGGATGGGCCTTGGGCCCTCACCTGCCCAAGGCCTCCAGACCAGGCTTGTGGGGGTCAGTAAAGCCCAGGGGTACCAGGAGTGGGCGCTCATGGGGGGTACTGGGGGCGGGGTGGGTAGATGTGGGCTCCTGGGAACCACACTACCAAGATGATGGTGGTCTTCTCTGATCCCTCGCTAGGGCTCATCACCCCGATTTAGGATGAAAGTTCAGGTCTCAGGGAGGTGGGAAGGTTTGTCTGGGCTCAGAAGAGGGTCCTAGGACCCCAGGCTCCCATCCCAGGTGGAAGGTGCTGGCACGCTCTGAGCCCCCAAGCTCCCAGTGCCTGGCCCTGCACCAGGGAGCTTCACAGCAGTGGGCAAGAGGTGCACAGGGGATGTGGGGGCTCATGTCCTGGGTGGACGAGCAGCCAGATGGGCCCCGCTGGGCTGGGTGGGTCAGCTCAGCTGTGACTCTAGCCACTGCCCTCCATGCCACTGTCCTCTCCAAGGACAGGGCAGCCACAGCCAGGGCAGGCAGGACACACAAGACCCAGCCACCACTAGGGGAAGACGTGCCAAGCACTAGACCCCGTCCACTCGTGGACGGAGATGGTGTGGCCAGCAAGCAACACACACCACTAGCTGTCTTGTTTTTTCCTGGCCCATGGACTGTCTGTGGACAGTGGGAGCCCAGCGTCCTGGGCACAGCTAACCCACTGGGTCCTCTCTCTGCAGGTGCCTGCAACACGGCCCCTGACTTCCTCTCCCCGTCTGGAAACCAGGTCCTGCGGCCTGCCCTGGGCAGTGTGGTCACTCTGAACTGCACGGCCTGGGTGGTCTCTGGGCCCCACTGTCCCCTGCCCTCAGTCCAGTGGCTGAAAGATGGGCTGCCGCTGGGCAATGAAAGCCACTCCAACCTCCACGAGGACTCCTGGTAAGAGACCGGAGCGTCTAGGGTCAAACTGACCACCCTGGACATACCCATGGCCAGTGGCCTCTCTGACCTACACCTGGTCTGTAACCACCCGGATGTGGGCTGGGGAGTGACTGCCAAAAGACGTGACGTGGCAGAGTGCCACTTTGGATGCAGATTGAAGATCAGTGACCACAGGGACTGATGGCCCCTGTAGCCGCTCACTTTGTAGACTGCCCAGGGCTATGGGTGCCAGCAGAGTCCTAAGGCCTGAATGAGGCACTGGCCATCAGGCCAAGCCTGGGATCAGAGGACTTGCAGGACCCAGACCCAGGATTAGGGTGACCGTCCCCAGACACATCCGCACCCCCTACAGGTTCTGGCTGCTTCTCAGAGCTTATAGCCCGAGGGCTGCCCAGGAAGCCCACATCTGCAGCCTCTCTGGGGGAGTCCCAGACAGGTGGGGCTCTGGGGCGTCCACTGATGCTCTCCGGCCCCAGGTGAGAGGGTGGGGCCTGGTCTCCCCAGGGTCAAGTCCAACTTGTCAGAGGTGCTTGTGTCCAGTGTCCTGGGGATCAACCTGACCAGTGCCAACGACTATGGGGCCTTCACCTGCTCCATCCAGAACGTCAGCTCCTCCTCCTTCATTCTTCAGCGAGCTGGTGAGGGGCACACTGGGGTCGAGGGTAGGAGGAAGGCCCAGGGGGCCTGGGGCGCCTAGAGGCTGGGGGAGCAGCCGCTCAGCTGCAGCTCTGTCCGCAGGCTCGGCAGGCCACGTGGCCGCCGTGCTGGCCTCCCTCCTGGTCCTGCTGGCCCTGCTCCTGGCAGCGCTGCTGTACGTCAAGTGTCGGCTCAACGTGCTGCTCTGGTACCAGGACACGTACGGGGAGGTGGAGATGAACGGTGCGTGGGGGCCGGCAGACAGGGAGGGGGGTCAGGCTTAGCTCCGGGGGGTGGGGGTGCCCGGGCGAGGAGGGGCGAGGAGGCGTCAGCCCCTGGAGGGCTTCGGCGAGCACCGTCCAGGAAAGGGGTGTCCGTGCGGCCCAGGAGGCGTAGGGCGGGGTCGGCAGGAGGGCTCCACGTGGAATCCGGCGCTGGGGAGGGTCTAGGCGCGGCCGCGGCGGGACCAGCGGGGGCGGCGTCTGGGGGGCGGGCCTGTGCCCTGGGCCCGGGGAGGCGGCGGGGGACCCAGGACAGGAGAGTGGCCCCGCTGACCCGCCGCTGTCTGCAGACGGGAAGCTCTACGACGCCTACGTCTCCTACAGCGACAGCGCCGAGGACCGGAAGTTCGTGAACTTCATCTTGAAGCCGCAGCTGGAGCGGCGTCGGGGCTACAAGCTCTTCCTGGACGACCGCGACCTCCTGCCGCGTGCGGGTACCGCGGCGCCCCGCCCTCCCCAGGCCCCGCCTCCGCCTGGCCCTGGCCCCGCCTCAGGCCCCGCCCCGCCCCCTGAGCACCGGGCCAGGCCCCGCCCCGCCCCCTGAGCACCGGGACAGGCCCCGCCTCCTGGGCACTGCCGAGTGAGGCCCAGGTCCCGCCCCTGTCCCCGCCCCCTGAGCGCCGGGTCAGGCACCGCCCCCTGGGCGCGGCACCTGGCCCCCACTCCGTTCCGGCCCGGCCCGGCCCCGCCCCGCCCCCTGAGCGCCGTCAGGCCCCGCCCCCTGAGCACGGCCGCGTCTGGCCCAGGCCCCGCCCCATCCAGCATCGGGCCCCACCCCCGGCCCCGCCCCATCCTGCCTCCCGCCCAGCCCCGCCGACGCTCGGTCCCCGCAGAGCCCTCGGCCGACCTGCTGGTGAACCTGAGCCGCTGCCGCCGCCTGGTCGTCGTGCTGTCGGACGCCTTCCTGCGCCGCGCCTGGTGCAGCCACAGCTTCCGGTGGGTCCCGCGCGGGGCGGGGTGGGCCCCCGCCGCGCCCGGCCTGACGGTGCCGCCCCGCAGGGAGGGCCTGTGCCGGCTGCTGGAGCTCACGCGCCGACCCATCTTCATCACCTTCGAGGGCCCGCGGCGCGACCCCGCGCACCCCGCGCTGCGCCTGCTGCGCCAGCACCGCCGCCTGGTGACGCTGCTGCTCTGGAGGCCCGGCTCCGTGGTGCGTGGGGGCCCAACGCGGGGAGCTCCGGGGGCTTTGTGCGGGGGACCCCGTGGGCGGGGGCTCCGTGGTGCGGGAGGCAGGGGCGCGGGGAGGGGAGGCCCTCCGCGGGGAGCTCGGGGGCGGGAGGTCTCTGTGCGTGGCGCCCCGGGAGGGGGCTCCTCGAGGTTCGGGAGCCGGTGAGCGCGCGCTGCGGGGTGTGCCCTTTAATGCCGGAGGCCGGGGGCTCCCAGTGTTCACGCCGCGTGTGCTCACACGCCAACCACCCCACCCTGGTCCCCAGACGCCGTCCTCCGATTTTTGGAAAGAGCTGCAGCTGGCGCTGCCGCGGAAGGTGCAGTACAGAACGACGGAGGGAGACCCCCAGACCCGGCTGCAGGATGACAAGGACCCCATGCTGATCGTGCGAGGCCGCGTCCCTGAGGGTCGGACCCTGGACCCTGAGCTGGACCCTGACCCCGACGGGGACCTGGGTATGCCCACCTGGCCCCACCCCCGACCCTGAGAAGCTCGGCCTGCCGTGGAGGGGGGCTGCACAGGGCGGAGGAGCCCAGAAGGGGGCCCCGGGCCGGGAACTCCGCCTTGCAGCCCATGGATGGGTCAACCCCCCAGCACCCCTCACTGCCTTCTGGAAGGCACTTGGGCCCCAGGCCTGGCTGGGACCCTCCAGGACCTCCAAGCCACCATGAGAAGGGTGCGCAGGGAGCGACCCCCAGGCCCAGGCAGTGGGGTCTGGCAGAGGGCAGGCTGTGGGCAGCCCAGCCTCAGGCCTGGTGGTGCCCCCTCCTCAGGTGTCCGAGGGCCTGTCTTTGGGGAGCCATTGGCTCCACCGCAGGCAAGTGGGGTCTCGCTTGGAGAGAGCCGGGGCAGTGAGGTGGACATCTCGGACCTCGGCTCCCGCAACTACAACGCCCGCACGGACTTCTACTGCCTGGTGTCCGAGGACGACGTGTAGCCCTGCCTACTGGAACCGCAGGATTGTCAGGGACAGCTGGGGGCGGGGGGCAGGGGGACTTTTCTCCCCTCGGCAGGATCAGGACCCTGCCTGCCTGCAGTCCTGGGACCCTCAGGGAAGGGGGTGGCCCCAGCACCCCTCCTTGTGCCAGAAATAAAGTCCTTTTGGATCCTGCCTGGGCCTCGGCCTCTCCTCTCCTGGGCAGGGTACCCGTCATTCCCATCTCATGGCCACCTGGTCACCAAATCTGGCCGTCCACTCAAACCCGCCCTCTCTCCATTCTCTGTCTGGAGCCAGCTCAGCTGTGTCTCTGGCAGTAGCCTTCTCGGGCCTCCCAGCTTGGGGGCGCCAGTCCCCAGCCACACTCTGATGCAGACACATCCAGGGGTGAGGCCTCTTAGAGACTCCAGGTTCTGACCTTTGCAGAAGAATCTTTTTGTTGTAAAAACATCAGTGGGAGCTTCACAACCAAATGGCCTGGCTCAGTGACCTGGGGGAGGGGTCCAAGAACCTAGTGGACCTCACATCTCAGATGGACAGCATGAGAGCCACTGGTTGGGCCAGCCCAGGCCTGGGGTGAGGGCAGACAGAGGTGTTGGGTGCGTCTGCCACGTGAGCACAGCCCAGCAGGGCAGCACCGAAGCCAGGAGTGGTCACTCCTCTGTGCACCAGGTCCCCAGCTCTGCTGCATCTGCACCTCAGTTGCCATCGGGGCTGCCTCTGCTGTCTGCCCCACCTCCTCCACTCTCCCCTGCTGGACGCTTCCTCTTCCCTGTCCTGGGTCCCATGACCTGGACAGGCCTGTGTGTGAGCCCAGAGGGTGAGCATCCTCAGGGGCAGACGTGATTGTGCCCGGGGACACTCCTGAGTCCGTGGATCCAACCCCCAGGTCAAGCCAGCTGAAGAAGCATGCAAGGCCGTGGCTCCTGTGTTCACAGCCACCTTTATTCCCAGCGTTGGCTGTCCCAAGGCACTGCCAGGCCATGGCCAGCCCCAACTTTGCCAGTGTGACCTGGTCACCACCACATGCACCAGAGCAGCCTCAAGCCCTCCCCTACCCCCTGCCCTGCAGAAGCCAAGTCCCCAGCCACAAGCCCCCATCCCCTCCCTGGTGGCCCAGGCCCTTCAGAGTTGCACGCGGGGGTCGGGTGAGAGACCATGAGCCATCGGCCTTCTCCTCCAGGCCAGCTGGCGAGCAGCACAGAGCTGAGCCCGTCCCTCAGAGGCTGGGCCTCGTTGCATCCTCCTCCTCCAGGAAGCCCTCACCTACGGGCCCAGGAAGTCCTCCTTTCGATAGCCCTTCTGCAGTGAACAGGGGGCCCAGAGTCAGGGCGCATGCCTGCCCGCCCAGCTCTGCTGTCCCTGCATCCCGCCCTCCCCCATGTGCTGGGCGTGGGCCCCTCTATCTGGGTCCCTGCTGTCCTTCCCGTGTCCCCTCTTCCTGAGTCTCCTGCTCCACACAGGTCCCCGTGTGTCCCCCGACGCCCTGCACCTGGGTGCCACACCCATGCCTGCCTGCCCGGCTCCCGGCACATACCGCCCGGAAGTCCCGGTGCAGCTTGTTGTACTGCCACAGATTGGCCAGGAGGCTGGAGGCCGCCCGGGAGGACTTCTCGCTGTCAGGGCTGGGGGAGGAGGGGGAGCAGAGGTCAGCAGGTGACAGGCACGGCCAGAAGGCAGGGGGGCTGGGGTCGGGGCCCTCACCCGTCCCGATTCTTCTTGATGAAGACCAGCTTGCGGAGCCCGTCGAAGTAGAGCAGGTCTCGGGCGGCGATGGGACTGGCCACCACCAGGTTGTTGAGTACGGCGATGATGTTGACCAGCACGTCGGCCGGGGGGGACTTCTCACCCACACTGCCCGGCAGCTTCTCAATGAGGTGACTCACCACCTTGGTGGCTGCGGGAGGTGGGGAGGTCAGTCTCCACCCCCACCCCCAGCCACCTTGGCACCTTCGGTCCCTGCTTCCCCAGGGAGCTGGCCTGCCCGTCCATCCACCTGGCTCCAGCTGGCCAGAAGCCAGCCCAGGGGGGCAGCCGTAAAGACAGAATCCAGGTGTGCGCCCAGCCGGGCGGGGCCAGGGCAGAACCCAGGCTGCGGGACGGCCTGACTCACACATCTCGTCCTTGTTCCTGGCATTCCGAGACAGGTTTCGGATTAGGCCGGTCAGCGAGCGCAGCTGGTGGTGGTCCGCAGTCCGAACTCGGTCCAGCAGCGGGTTCAGGATACGCTCCTGTTCCAGCGCCAGGCGGCTCAGCACGCCCGCCCACTGCAGGGGGGGAGGGGAGTGAAGAGCAGGTGAAGCCCGCCTGGCGGGCCCATGGCCAGCACTGCCGGCTGGCCCCCCTCTCGATCCTCACGTTTCCCCGGGGGTCCTGGGCAGGACGGGCTTCTCCATCTCACCAGCTCATGCACCGTCCCTGCTTCTGCCTTTGCACTCCCGCCAGGAACCTCACCAAGCGTGACCCCGGCAGGGTCCCTTCTGGCTCAGACCTCCCAGGCACCTCCCCTAAAACCCCGTGCAGAACCTAAATCCTCACGGCCACCGTGGCCTGCCCTGTCTGGGGTGCCGACCTCACGCTCCTTGCTGCCTTCTCGTCCCTCCTGCCCAGCAGAGACCGGAGGGTGCCCTGCCTCCTCCTCTCTCACTCTGATGTCCTGGCTCATCCACCCGTCTGCATTTGTCCTGCTGTCCCCCCCAACCCCACACACGGTAAACTCCTGGGGGCGGGCTCCCACCCCCCGTACGCCCCTAGTGTCCCCAGTGCATGGCCAGGTGTGGCTCCTGTCAGGCTGGGGCAATTGCCGTGTGCTCCCAGGACAGCTGTGGGGCATCGCAGAGAGGCCCTCACCCTGCGGTCGCCCGCGGTAATGTTCTGCAGGGCGCCCGCGGCTGCCTCCGTCGTGTGCCGGTTCAGCTCACAGCGCTGCAGCAGCCGGTTGTACAGGCCCACAATCTGGGGGCTCCACAGCCACTCAAGGCCCTTGGGGTCCTTGGACACCTCGGCGAAGGTGAGCGCGTCGGCCATGAGGGGCAGCTGTGCGGGAGGGTGCGGAGGGTCAGCCGGGGTCAGGCCAGGACCCCTGCTCCCACTGGCCCGCCCAGGCCTGAGCCCACCTCTCGAAGCCGCCGGCTCTGCGGTGTGAAGCAGCCCACCACCTCACCGGGCGGCGCCCCAGCCGTGTCCCTGCGGCCCCGGCCCTCGAGCCGCTGCAGGGCTGATGGCGGCATCTCGTCATACAGGCGGTAGGACAGGTTCCTCAGCACGCACACGGCGTTCTCCACGCTCTGCGGAGAGCGGACAGTGGTCAGAGTGGGCTGGAAACCCCCGGGTCCCCTCGTCACCAGCTGCCCCTCACCTTGTCCTCGCACTTGCCCACATCCAGGGCGTGGTTGATATAGGTGACCAGGGCGTCCACCAGCCCATGACACTCACGCATCTTCTGGCGAGTGGCCTGGGAGGCTGAGCTGAGGTTCCTGTTGGCAGAGGCAGATCAGAGACCCCACAGGGACCCCCAGCAGAGCCCACCCCCACAGAGACCCAGACCCACAGGCTGCGACCCTGAGCACCGATCCCCTCATCCCCCGAGCTGGGCCCTGCCCCTTGGCACCTCCTGCTCCTGGGCCCTGCTGGACACTGCTGGCCCTGGTGCCTCTCACGCCCACCCCCATCCACTCCCCAAAGCGTCCTGAGGCGGGTTATGAACGTCCGGCCAAGTCCCTGATTTAACGAGACCCAAGCCTGCAGCCCCCAGAGCCTGCTGACGCCTAAGGGTGGCCATGCCTGGCAGCCGGGTCCACTCCCGTATCAGCGCCTGTGCCTTGCCTGGTCTGTCCACTCCTCCCAGCCCCGCTGGCCGGCTCAACCTTGTCATTGGACCTCAGATTCAAATGCCCCTTCTGCAGGCCTCCCCTGCCCCTCCCAGGCACCCGGCTCTTTCCCCACGGCCATCGTCTCGGCCTCTCTCAGCCGACAGCCCGCACACCTGAGGAAGCCCGTGGCGTTGTAGAAGATCTCAGCCTCGGAGGCGTTCTGCTGGATGAGGGGTGGTCCCCCGGCCCCCGACAGGGGGCTTAGCACCAGGTCCGTGAGCTGCTCCAGTGTGTCCAGGGCCAGGCGGTCCTTCAGGTTGTCGCTGGAGGACAGGTTCCACAGGATCCCTGGGGCAGGAGGGCCAAGGCCGCAGTCAGGGACGTACCCCGGCCCCTCTGGCTGTTGCAGGGAGGGTGGGGGGAGGCTCCTGACCACTCCCAGGGCCCCGCTGCGGGGAGTCTGAATGACCTGCAGGTCATGGGGCTGCACGGAGCAGAGGGACAATGCTTGGGAAACTGGCGGGCCGCAGGCAGCTCCACAGAGACATGGCATGAGAACAGTCATGGGGACCGAGGAGAGAGATGGGACGGGGGACAAGGTCAGAGGCAGAGAGAGGAGCGGGGACAGAGAGGGGACCCGGCCACCTGTGACATTCTTGCGCAGCTCATCGTCCTGCTCACGCAGCGTCCGCAGCAGCTCGAAGATGCCGTTCTCCTCCACCAGCGCCAGCTTATTGTCCGCGTTGTCGTAGATGAGGTTGCGCATGGCACCTGTGGCGTGGCGCTGCACCTCCTGGTTGGCGTGGTTGAAGAGCTTCACCAGCCGAGGCACGGCCTGGAGGCTGCGGGCCTGCAGACAGAGGCGCATGGGTGTCAGCAACACATGTGCACACTAGACAGGAGTGGATGCAGGTGTGTGTAGATGTGTGCCAGTATATGAAGGTGTATACAGATGATGCAGGTGTGTGCAGGTGTATGCAGCTGTGTGCATATGTATGCAGACATGCAGGTGTGTGCATATGTATGCAGACGTGCAGGTGTATGCAGCTGTGTGCATGTGTGTGCAGGTGTGTGTAGATGTGTGCAGGTGTATTCAGAAGTGGACGGGTGTGTGTAGGTGTGTGCAAAGGTGTGCAGAAGTATGCAGAGGTTGACAGGTGTATGCAAGGGCATGCAAGTATATGCAGAGGTGTGCAGGTGTGTGCCAGGGTATGCAGGTGTGTGCAGGTATATGCAGATGTGTGCAGAGGTGTGCAGGTGTATTCAGATGTGTGCATATCTATGCAGACGTGCAGATGTGTGCATAAGTATGCAGGTGTATGCAGATGTACATAGAGGTATGCAGGTGTATGCAGAGGCGGACAGGTGCATGCAGGTGTGTGCAGATGTGTGCAGAGGTGTGTAGGTGTATGCAGAGGTGTGCAGGTATATGCAGGCATGTGCAGATGTGTGCAGGTATATGCAGGCATGTGCAGAGGTGTGTAGGTGTGTGCAGGTATAGGCAGGCATGTGCAGGGGTGTGCAGGTGTATTCAGATGTGTGCACATGACTCCCTCCTGCCCCTCCCCTGGCGAGGAGGCTCTGGGCAGAATGGGGTCTGCCCACTCAGCTTGGGGATCAGAGGGGTGGTCAGGGACTGGAGGTTAGTGAGAGTTGGGGCTCCAGGAAGGTGGTCAGCAGGGGTGTTTGTGGACCAGCAGGGGCGGTCACCTGCTTCTTGGCTGCGGCGTCGCTGTAGCACTTGTGCTGGATGTAGGCGGCTCCCAGCACCTGCAGGTTGGGGTCTGAGGCCATGAGGTACTTGACCGCTGAGGGCAGGTCAATGTCGTCGAAGCTGCACAGACAGGGGCCGAGGGTCAGCCTGAACCAGGGATGGACCAGGGCCACGGCGAAGCCCCCTCCCCGAGCCAGGCCCAGCTCACCCACTGCTGAGCCTCTGCAGGGTGCGGTGGCTGCCATAGCTGTCCAGCCCACGCATATCCGGCAGGTGGCCAGAGTCAGCCAGGCTGAGGCTGAGGCTGCGCACGGACGGCGCTCGGGTCACAGGTTCCAGGACCCCCCCTGGCACCACCCCGCGGCTGCGGTGGCTGCTCTGGAATCGCTGCAGGGTCCGCATGGCGGGGGCACGGATCGTCCGGCTGGGTGGCCCCTCGGCAGCCTCCGGCCAGTCCAAGCCCCCTGCCCGGCTGGAACTGGAGCTGGCCTGGCGCTCATAAGCAAAGGCCCTGTAGGCAGAGGCGGCCGAGGGTTCCAGCTGCTCGGACACCACGCTGTAGCGGTCGTCCAGGGCCCTGGCCCCCAGCCTCAGTGAGTGCAGGGACAAGGTGTCATAGTCCCCCCGGCCCCCCACCCCACCACGCTCATGGAAGGACACGGGCCGGGCAGGTATGGGCACCGTGGGCGGGCCTTCCCTGTACCCCATAGCCCCAAAGGCGCTGCCCCCACTGCGGGCAGAACTTAGCCTCCGACTGGGGCTCAGGTCCACAGCTGAGCGGGAGGACCAGGAGGCAGGGCCGTAGACTGGCTTGGCGGGCTTGGCGATGGGCCGGAAAGTCTGTGGGGCAGGGAGGGGAGGGTAGTAAGGGGTGCGGGGACTCACCCGGCACCCGTCCCCTCTCCCTGACCCTGGAGCCCCCAGCCTCCCCCAGCAACTACAGAGCCCAGACTCTCCTGGGGCTGGCCAGGGTGTCACTCACTGACGTGCTGTCCCCACTGAGTCCTTGGGAGCGGGAGCTGAAGCCAGCCTGCAGGGTGTGGTACTGACCCCGGGATGTGCCTGTGGACAGGGACAGTGGTAGCTGGCCGGGCCAGATGGCAAAGCACTGGCCTCCCACTTCTCCTCCATGACCCTGGGACCCAGGGCAGGGAGGCCGGGTGGACTCCAGTGGCCGGTGTCTTGACCCCTGGTCCCTGCCATCGCCTTGTCTCAGTTCCTGTGACGTCAGCCCTGGTCATCCCTCTCCCACAGCCTCCCGCCCCTCAGCTGTGCCAGGGGATGGACGCGCTCATCCCACTGACCACCCGGCTGCCTGGAGAATGTGCCGGGGTCTCCATCTGCCCTCCAATCCCTGCCAGGGCCCAACACCTGGCCCCCTCCTCCAGGAAGCCACACTGACCTCTTGTCAGCCCGTCCTGTGCTATGGTCACACAGGAGTGATGCTGCCCTCACCCAGGACACACAGTCTCCCTGGCCATTCTGCCCTGAGGGGCAGTTGTCTGTTCCACCTGGCAGAGCCATACCCACCCCATCCAGTCACACAAACTGAGGGCACTGGCTCCAGCCCGGCTTCATGGTGATGGACACAAAGGTGGGTGGGTGGAGGGTGGAGAGAGAGGAAGGACACGGAGGGCTGGTGGAACCAGTGGAAAGATGGGTGGATTGATGGTCAGATGGCTGGGTGAAGGGAGAGCTGAGCCAGGAGGATGGAGGGACGGGAGGATGGAGGGATGGGGGCACGGAGGGATGGGGGACGGAGGGACGGGGGGATGGAGGGACGGGAAGGGAGGATGGAGGGACGGGAAGAGGGCGGGAGGAGGGTAAACGGACAACTGGATGAAAACGCGGGTGGATACAGAGTGGACACACGGGTGGGCGGGGTGTGGTTGGTCAGATGGACGGAGGGATGGGTGGACGGACAGACAATGGGTGCTGGATAAGGGCCAAATGGAGGCAGTGCAGTGAATGGACTGGGGAGGCACCAGGTGATGCCAGGGGCTGGGTCTGTGGACGGGGAGGGGGTGTCTGGGGGTCAGCCTCTGCCAGGGTCCCTGCTGGGGCCACACCTTGTGGGAGAAGAGCCACATCTCCCCAGAAGGCTGAATGCACCCAGGGGTGAAGGGAGGTGGGGCAGAGGCCCCTCCCAACCCTCTGCCCCAGACCCGCCCTGTTTAATGAGGCTTCTGAGCCGGGGCTATTAACCCTCTGATGCTGGTGAGGCTCAGCCAGGGGGCACGCCCCCAGCCTGGAGACCTACCCCCACCCCCAAATTATAATCCTTCTCTCCCTAATTGACAGGGTAGCTGCGTGGTAATTAACCCCTCCCTGCTCCCTCATCCGCCCCATGACCCCTGGGCCCCCAACTTGGCCACCAGCAAGGCTGAGGCTCAGGGAGGGGAGGACCCAGGAATACAGGCTGCCCTGGCGTCCCGCACTGGCTGACCCTCTTCTCCTGGGACCAGTGGCTGGAGGCTGGTCGTGGGGAAGGGCCCTCTAGGCGTCAGGTGAACCACTGTGAACAGGCTCTCAGCCCTTGATATCCTGGGAGGTTCATCCCACTGTTAACCTCCACCCCTGTTGTTGCAGCCTGGCAAGGAAGGAGACGGCCTTTCCAGAACAAGTGCCCTGAGCTTGCCGTGTCTGCGGGGCCCTTTAACACACTCACATCCACACAGCGCACAAACATGCACACTCACATTCACATACGTGAACACACCCACATCCACACACGTGCACGCACACACATTCACACGCTCACACGCGCACACACACGTGCACTCACATCCACAAACACGCACACATTCACACACGTGCACACACTCACACACACAAACAGGTGCACACAGGCACACTCACACACACGCACACTCGCATCCACACACGTGCACACACTCACACACACAAACAGGTGCACACAGGCACACTCACACACACGCACACTCGCATCCACACACGTGCACACACTCACATGCACACTCACGTTCACACACTAACAACACTCCCATGCATGCACACACACATGCACACACACTCCCATGCATACACACTACCACGCACATACGTGTACACATACTCACATTCACACACTCGCATGCACACACCAGTGGAGCCAGGATTCCTGCACAGGGTCTGCAGCTTGGCTCTTGGGGCACACCCCCGCCCTCAGCTCTCATAGAGAATATCTGGGTCACTCCAGCCGGGCTCTCCCCTGCAATTCCGCAGGGAGACCCTGGTCCAGACAGGCCTGGATTCCCGAGCCCGCCCCCTCATGTTTCTGTCTGCGCATTCCCGAGGGGCATGGGGGGTGCCAGGAGGGAGGCTGGAGTCTGGGCGTCTGTGTCTTAGTGTGTTGTGTCTCTGTGGGACTGACATGTGTGTCTGCGTGTCTCTGAGACCGTGTGTGAGTCTGGTACGTGGGACCCGACTGTGCCTGTTCCGGGTTTGCAGACAGACATGGGCCTGCCTGGCCCGCCATGTGCTGTCGTCCCCCACGGAGGGCTCAGGGCCGAGGGGGCAGGTGGGCCCAGCCAGGCTCAGCCGGGAGGACCCTGGGGTCCCCGCTGGGTGGTGGGAGGCCCCACCCATGCTTCTCCCACGCTCGGTGGGGCGGGGCGGGTGACTCAGGGCAAGGCCTCAGTGAGTCAGGGAGCTGAACCCTGGAGCCCGCCCCACCGAGGGCTCTGGCCCTGGCACCACCACACCCGCCAAGGCCACCTCTGCCGCCACAGCTGTCCCTGCCGCCCGGTGCCCACCCTGCCGGCGTCCGCTTACCTCTGGCTGCCTCGGCCTCCCCCTCGGGCTCGGCCACCCCGTTGTGCCGTGGCTGCTGGCCCAGCTGCAGGAGGCGGGCGCGGACCTGCTCCTGGACGCGGGCGGCCCGCAGCCGCTCGGCCTCCGGCCCCTCGGCGCCCCGGCGGTCCAGCTGCAGGTCCGAGGGCAGAGCCAGGGAGCACACGCCGGCCTCGGGCTGCAGGGCCGACAGCAGGAAGTTACCGTCCTGCATGGCGGCAGGTGCGGGCTGGATCCGCCTGGCCTGGGCCGCGGGGCCACCTCCAGCCCAAGCTGTCTTCACCGTCTGTCCCGAGCGGCCCTGTCCCCCAAGTCCCCTCCCTCCTGGCCTCGCCCAGAGCCGGGCCTGGAGACAGACGCCCGCCCAGCCCTGAGCTCAGCTGGGGGCGGGGACACCTGGGCCAGGTGGGAGGGAGGGGCCACCGCCTGCTTAAGGGGAAATTTCGGCAGAAGAGCAGGCCCTGCGTGGCCCAGATCCTGGCCTGGCCTCCCCGCCTTTCGCCGGCCCCAGGAGGGGCAGCAGGGGTCTGGGCCCAGCTTTGTTCCCAGCCTGCAGAGGTCACAGTGGGCCCTTTGGGATGGGGGTCGGCTAATCAGGCCCCACTATCCTGAGTGTTAGGGAAGGGCCGGGGGAGGCCACTAGGGAGCCTGTGGCTGGCCACCCCCGGGAGTCCAAGGGGGCGGGCTCCCCTCCCTAGGGGGCTGGGGGCTCCAGGTAGCTCCAGGGACTAGGCAGCCCAGCCACAAGGCTGGGGTGAGGCCTAGGCAGGGGTCAGCATCAAGAGTCACTATTAGGGGTCCGGGGTCAGAGAGAAGGGTCAGGGTTGAGGATAAAACGATGGTGGCAGAACTTTAGGGTGGAAGGGGGCCCTCCCCTACAGAATACTTGACCTGGTCCCTGGTGCCTGGGAGACCCCAGAAGCATGTGGATAGATAGACCAGCCCATTCCCTGGGTTCATGACCCTCCAGACCTCCACCCTGTAGACCCTGGAAGTTGTCCCCAGCTCCCCACCTCTGCAGAGGCCTCCGAAGGGCTGGCTTGGCCCTCTGGCGCCCCTCCCTGGTTCCTGCTCCCAGGCCATGGGGGTGGGAGGCTGTTCCCACACGTGAGTCAGGCTGGGCTGTGATGGGGCAGGGCAGGCAGGGCTGCCCCAGGGGGCTGACTCAGAGGGGCCCTCCTGCC